GGGGCAGCATTTCTTATGGGTGTAGAGGTTTAAAAAAAGGGAGGGGGGTGGGAAATGCAAATTAAAACGACTTCACAGTGAGATACCACTTCGCACTGATTAGAACGACAATAATTTTTAAAAACCTGTAAAATGGTACAGCCACCTCAGAGAAAAACCAGTTTGTGGATTTCTTAAAATGTTTAACATAATTTTACTGTACAACCCAGGAAGTCCCCTGTGGGAACCTACCTACGAGAAATGAAAAGATGTGGCCCGGCCGGTGTGGCTCAGTGGTTGAGTGGCTGCCCGGGAACCAAGAGGTCACGGTTCGATTCCCGATCAGGGCACATGCCCAGCTCCATCCACAGTAGGGAGTGTGCAGGAGGCAGCCGATCAATGCTGTTTCTCTCTCTATCTCTCTCCCTTCCCCTCTCTCAAAAGTCAATAAAAACATATATATATATATATAAACATATATATACTGTATATTCTGAATACAGGTAACCTCTCTGCGCGGCCTCTGCTCCTTCACGGCGCCCTGTGACGAATGGTGGTTCCTCATTTTAACGAAGGCCAGCGTGTTCCTTTTGCCCTGATGGTTCGCACTTCCTGTGTTGTGTTGAAGAAATCTTTGCTCATCCCCCGCCCGGGAGGCTGTTGTCCTGTTTCCCCCTGAAGGCTTTGTCGTTGCTGGCGCTGATTTCCCTAAGTGCACGGATGAGACGGGGGAAGTTGGACTCCATCAGAGCTCTGAGAGGGGAGCCAAGACCCACCAGGAGGGAGGGCACTGGCCGTGGCGGCGGGGTGGGGAGAGCTGGGTGACCACAGCCCAGGGGACACAGAGACCCCCTCCTCCTCCCCAGCACCCCACCAGGCCAGCTGAGGCCTCCTCACAACGGGGCCCAGGGAAGCCCTGACTGCGTGAGGCGCTGCTGGACAACAGTCCTTCAAGGCCACGCCGGGGCCGCCGTGGGGGGAAACCGGGCCAGTGCTGCGTCTACCACTGTAGCCGAGGCCTGGCCCTTCCCTGAGTCCCTGAGCCTCACAGGCAATTGCATAGATGCATGCTCAGGAGATTGATTCATTCATTAATTAATGTTTATATTTTTATTGATTTCAGAGAAGAAGGGAGAGGGAGAGAGAGATAGAAACATCAATGTTGGGAGAGAATCATTGACCGGCTGCCTCCTGCACGCCCCCTACTGATCGACCCTGCAACCTGGGCATGTGCCCTTGACCAGAATGGAACCCGGGATCCTTTAGTTCACAGGCCGCCGCTCTATCCACTGAGCCAAACCGGCCAGGGCATAGACTAACTTAAATCTTAAAAATGCCTGTGGCTGGGGGCGTGGGTACACAGTAGAGCCAGTGCGTAGAGATAGTGATTACTCTGCAGGCCATCAAAACTGCGTTTTCATGGGGCTCCCCTGGAACTTCCTGAGGAAGAGGCGAGTCTCCCCACCCCGCCCACTAAGGCAGCGACTTTGAAAAATATTATTCTGGGTGAGTTTCCACTATGGGTTGAAGGCCAGCACCGCAGATGGCCGGGAGCCTCCCCCAGAGTGCGCCACATCAGTACTGAACAAAAGGTTGCCTTCCAGAACTTTCCACATGATCATGGATGGCTAAGTAAAAACATGGTCAACCAGCCTGGCTGGTGTGGCTCAGTGGTTGAGCATCAACCTAGGAACGAGGAGGTCACGGTTCAATTCCTAGTCAGGGCATATGCCCGGGTTGCAGGCTTGATCCCCAGTGTGGGGCGTGCAGGAGGCAGCCCATCAATGGTTCTCTTTATCATCGATGCTTCTCTTTCTCTTTCTCTTTCTCCCTCTCCTTCTCCCTCTCTGAAATCAATAAAAATATGTTAAAAAATATATATATATAGAACCTCCTTTGGTCAACCAAAGGAGTAACAGAGACGTTTAAGCCTTCTCTCCCCTGAACAAAAGGGGTCTTCCAAGAGCCGTGCTTGGTGTTCCTCACCCACCCAGCTCCTCTGGTCTATGGAAACAAGAAACACACCTACTGCACAGCCACTAGGAGTCCGGACCAGGAGGGCCCTGGCCCTCAGCTCTCTCCTCTTCCCCACCACGTCCACTGCCTGGGCCCTGCCTTTCTCTCAGGTCTGGAAGCGGGTAAGGAGGCTAGAGGAAGGTGTGGGGCCAACGCCAGGAGGGCCGGGGCTCTGCCAACCCTCGGGCAGGCACAGCCGCTTGTAAGCAACTCAGGATGGCCCACACTTGGGAGCCACTGGCAACGGAGATCTTTACAGGAGCTTTAGTAGCTGAATGCGTGGGCATTTGGGGGGCATATGTTTTGTTTAATAAGATGAACACAAGCCAAGATTTCAGGCAAAGAATGAGCAAGAAATTTCCCTTCATCTCGGAAGATGATTACAAATCCATTGAACATTCTGCAATACGTGGAATCAGAAAGGAGGATCAAGAAAAATGGTTGAACAGCAAAAGGTAAGAATGTGGCCACGCATCAAGGTTTATACCCTCTTTCCTCGTATCAGGCAAGGTTAAAATTTGAAAGTTGACATGGATGGATTTTGGAATATTTAAGGCAAAATGCAAATCCTCCTTAAGCCAGAGGATGTGTTACTTGGACTAACCATAGGCATCCATGGAAGGTATGTTTCTCATGTTGTAAGTAGAGCTTTGTTTGTGCTTCTCTAGAAGAGGCCTTCGTAACCTGGTAGGAGAGGGTGGGCCTTAGGATGGGCTTGCCTGGAATGAGCCCTGCCTCTGTCCTTTCCTACCAACCACGAGCTCCGGGCACGTGTTTCACCCTCTGAGCCTCAGTTCTGCCATCTGCAAAATGGGATCATGCCTCGCTCACAGAGTTGTTGTGAGGATTAGTCAGCAAAACGAATCTCAGGAGCCCGGGTGCCTTTTGGGAGCATAGTAGGCCCTCAATAGTGTTACTATTGCCTTTGGAGCTATTGTTTCCCTTGGGTGTGAGTGTGGAGCGAGCACGCCCCTCAGACCAGCCCAGAGGAAGAGCGTGAGGCTCTGGCCCCGCCTCCTGGAGACACTGACATCCCCTGCGAAGCTCCGTTGTGAAAGAGCGAAACATGGATGTGGAAGACAAAGCCCAGACTCTGAATCAACCGGGAGGTGCAGCGTCGGGGAGACTCCACGGCAGGGTGGGCCCGTGACTCACCAGGGCGATCCTTTCACTTTTCCTCCCGACCCACCTGAGCGCTTCCGGCTGCGCTGATTCACCGCTTGCTGTCGCGGTTACGTAACGGAGGCTGTTGTGCTTTGCTGGGCTGTCTGTCTCTGG